ACCAGGCAAAGTCCCCCCAGGATCCCTTGATGTTGAGCAAACAAAATGCTGATGTGATTTTTCCCCTGTACATGCTACTGTAGTTTTTCTGCCCACGTCGTTATTCATGCCCTTGCTTTCTCACTTATTTGCCAAGCTGTGCAGGAAGCATACCAGCTCCAAGATATGGGAGTGCAGGCGAGTGACTGCAGAACGTAGGGGCTGTGAGGACACTTGGGTAGGTTTCCGTACAGCCAGTGTCATCTGCCAGAGGCTACCTGATGTCCAGGAAGAGTCTGCACTTGGGTTCAGATCTCAGCTCTCATTTGCTGGGTGACTTAGCTTCTTAACTTTTCAACATTTCTTTTTTTTTTTAATCAGAAAGGTAAAGTTCATGATCCTTGTTGCAGAAAGCCATCATAAAGATTTAATGAGGTGATATGTATTAAGCCAGGTGAGGGTAGGTGACAAGTAAACCACAGCCATGACCAGACTGGTAGAATTTTAGGTATTATAGTGTCTTCTGAAGAAGGGGGAAGAATGCTTCAGGGTAGCTCTGGGGGTTGAGGCAAGGGACTTTGGGACAGTCATTTCCTACTTTAACAAAGCCTATGAAAGCATAATATACAAGAGCTGCTCAAAATATACAGTTAATGTTTAAATATAAAAAACTTATTACAGTATCAGACATGCTGCCATTAATCCTCCTCAAAATACTTCATGCTTCAAACACAGTATCCTATTGTTTTTGCCACTTTGTTTTTTTAAATCTTTTTTGAGCCAGGGTCTCACTATGTATGTAGTTCAATCTGTTTTTGAGCTCACTGTTTAGCTGAGGCTGAGGCTGGCCTGGAACTTATGGCAATCTTCCTGCCTTAGCCTCCTGCGTGGTGGGATTGCAGGCGTGCATGACTACACCTGGCTTGTTCTTGCTACTTTTAGAAGCAATATTGGAAGTCCTCTTTCCTGAGTGTTTTTATGAGGTGTGATCAAAATTCAGTGAATGCTGTTGTCAAGTGCCATCCAGTGGAAAGTAGGCTTGTAAAACGTGTCCTTACTGAATAGTTTCTTGGGTGTGAGAAACTAAAAGTGTAAATAAGATCCAAATTTTATAACTAATAATGTGAATAGGAAGAAAAGGGCTAAAGGTGTAGGGGAAGTGGGAAGGGTAGGGGAAAGGTAATAAGGGAAAAGAAAAAATATGAGAAAAGGAAAAAATGGAAACAAAGTCTCTGTAAATAGGGAAGGGTGGAGGGGGTAAAGTGAGAGTAGGGATATGGTGAAAAAATGAGAACCAAGATATGTCATGTAAAGGTATAAGATCCCAATAATGAATGTAACTATACTGTATACCTAAAAAGTACTAGTAACCTCAACGGGGAAAAAAAAATCTCTGTCCTTATTCACCAGCCCTGGCACCATACAATTTTTGAGACTTCCCCAAAGTCAAAATGACTATGAAAAGCAAACATTTTTAATTGATTCAGGACGCTGAGGTAGCCACACTAGTGCAAATAAGGACATTCAGACAAAAAGAACTTCCAGAACTGCTTCCAAAAGTAGAACAATGGAGTGAAATGTGTTTGAAGTGAGGGGAACACTTTGAGGATGATCAATAGCAATGTGTCTTTTATTGTAAGTTTTTAAAATAAATTTTAAAATTTAGAAAAATTTAAACTTTAACTGTATTTTTCAATTCCCCTTCATAGATGGGCACACATAGGCTGTCTAGCTCTGTGGCTGCAGTCAGTCATCAATATTCCTTTGGACCTACTCAGGCTCAGAAGGGAGGGTTCCTGCAGCTAAAGTTGGTGGTGCTCTGTCTCCACCCCTGCCACATCGTCCTCTGTTTCCAGGAGCACAGCTCCACACCTGTAGTTTTTGAGCCATTCTGTAGAAACACTCAGAATTCCCATTCCCTCTTCTCAGGCAGCAGGCAGCACCCATTTGGACCAACTCATAAGGATGCCTGCTACTGGGACAGATGAGTTACACCTTCCCTCCAGAGTCCTTTCCTGGAGGAGCTGTATGGACTCTGTTCAGGGAAAGAGTGCTTGTCTGGAATGAGTAGGCATGGGACTGGGAACATTTCTGAGGGCCTGATGGTAACCTCAGATTAGTGATTCTCACAGCCTAGCCCTTGAAGGCTGCTCAGTGATTGTCCTTATTTTATAGATGAAGAAGGAGAGGCCCAGAGAAACCAACTTCTTGTTCACTACCACCTTGCTTGTCAGTACTAGAGCCTGGATTTCAGCCAAGGCTTGAGTCACCATTCTTTACCACTATACTCTGCCTTGTTGCCCAATGGAACTGCTTGGACCTGGGGGTCCCTGGGGTGGGCTGAAGACTGTCATGGCAAGGCTGGTGGTTTCCTGAAATGTTTCCCTTTGGAGTACGCTTCTGGGTACACACATTGAAACTTAAAATGCATTGACTCTGGGAGGACTGGAAGAGCCCCCAGCCCTTTTGGGGCTAACAAGGGGCCACAGAATGCGGCAGACATGCTGATGATGGCATGTGACCATGCTGCTTCTGTTCTCAAGAATGTCTCCCTGGCTCTTTTCTCACATTTAACTTCTTTACCTGTGAGGGCCTTGGCTTTTTAAGTTCTTCTTGAGAGTTTGTGGTTTATGAGATTAGAATGCTTTACTAGTAAAAGAGAATATGAGGTATGATCAAAATGTATGGTGAATCTTTAAATTTTTAGAAATTTATTATAATAAAAGGCACATTGCCATTGAAGCCCCCCCCCCTTACTTCAAACACTTATCCCATCTTTCTTGCCACTCTCTGAAGCAGTTTTAGAAGTCTTCATTCCTGAGTGGTTTGGTGTTTTTTTTCCCTTAGTACTAGGGATCTAACTCTGGACCTTGTGTTTGCCAGGCAGATGAAGCACCACTGAGCTATATCCCTGGCCCTCCTGAGTGTTTTTATAAGGTGTGATATTTGTGAATGGTACTGTCAAGTGCCATTCACCTGGAAGACGGGCTCGTAAAAACATGACAGGTGTCCTCTACCACCTTATTCACCAGGTCTGACACCATGCAACCTCTGTCTCTTCCCAAAGTCAAAATGACCACAAAAGGTAAACATTGTGAATAGACTCAGGTCATTGAGGTAGCCACAGCAGCACAAGTAGAACTGTTTTCAGAAGTGGCAAGGACAATGGCATAAGTGTGTTTGAAGCAAGGAAAAGCATTTTGAGGGGAATTAATGGCAGTGTGTCTTTTACTATCACAAATACTTAAAAATAAACAGTATATTTTGGTCACACCACATATGCTAGTGGATCCATATGCTGAACTGCCGTTTCGGTCCTCTGACAGTTCAGCTGATCCTATTACAAAGCCAGTTCCTTTCAAAGACTCTGTGTCTGCCCAGGTGAATGTGTAATGCAGAGGATCTTCCCGGGGCTAGGCTACTATAGGTTAGTCCAAGAGATGGGAGACTTAGGAGAAGCAAGCCAGCAGGCAGCCTGTTGTTGTCAGGGCTGGGCAGTGGGTGGACACACAGGCATCCTAAAGAGCCCTGATGATAGCATGTATCCTCAAGTGGCAGTGGCACTGGGGGTTGGAGTGCTGCTGGGCTGCTGGGTGGATGGAATAGCCTTGGCTCTGTGGTACATGAGTAGCTGGCGGGCTTTGAGCCCAGTGATGAGTGCAGGCAGGAGGTCGGAGAGGCACAGATCCATGGACAGGTGATGGCCCCTATAGGCAGGCCAACACCGATTCATCTACTTAAGTGTCCTGCCTCTGACCCAGGAGATGCCATAGCTGAAGGGACAGAGCAGGCCCAGATGTACAGGAGCACAAGGAAGCTTCTGATTAGGAATGAGAGGTAGAGAGGGACAAGGAGGATGGGATACTTGGAGCAGAGAGAGGGCATCGCTGATGAAGAGGACTATATGAGTTGGGCGCGGAGATGCAGAGGCCGGAGAGGAGTTGTGGAAGGAGGTGGACTGGATTGGAGTACCTTGCCAAGGGGCTTAGAGTTTCTCCCAAAGGCGACAGAGAGCCCTGAAGGATTGGCAGAGCTGAGGAGTGACATGCGAACATTTGGAATGCCCATTAGTGAAGTAGTGGTTTAAAGCCCAACCCCAAATGTGGTTGTATTTGTGGGTCATTGAGGCTTTGCAGCTGGCCAAGAGTGTAAGCTGCACTGAGCAGGGCAATTCCAGAGGGAACAATTCCACAAAGGAATTTCAGGCTTTAAAACCAGAACTGAGGCATTTGCTGGCATTTGCTGGATACTCGGGATCCTGCCAGCTGAACACATGCACAGTGCTCCCTGGGTCAGGAGATGCCTTCTGTGTACAGATCAGGATCCAGCTTTTCTGATTATGGAGGCAAAGAGCCTTAGGTGGAAATGTTAAGTGCCTCACATTCCTAGAGTCCTGTGGGAAACAATCCTGTGGTGTCTGTTTATGGATTCTCTCTCCCAGTATTCGACATCCACCTGGCCAGGATATTCACACAGGAACCTTTGTTTTCCATCAGGATGGAGTTGGAACAGCCCCTTATCCCCAATTCTGGGGCTCAGTTGCTGGGCCCATGGGAATCCATTGGTAACTGGAGCTATCCTGTATTGTGGGGGAGGAATTGGAGGTGGCTGGCCAGAAAGAAGGATGACTTCAGGGCCTGGAGTCTTTGGTGCTTCACCAGGCTGCCTGCTGAACGGAGCACTCTCAGTAAAGAACTGGGAGATGAGCCAGCCTCCTAGTGTGCCTTCAAGGGCAGGGCAGGCTGGCCCTGGCCCACCTGCTTATTCACCCAGCCCCTTTGAAGCAAGGCTGGACTGCTGGGTGCTTCTATTCCTCTCTTCACTCATGGCTTCTGCTGGGAAAGGTGAGCATGTGTACCTGGATAGGGAGAACCCACCACACTACTATTTCTCAGTGACAATTGGAAGTCAGTTTTTTGTTTGCTTGTGGTTTTCCATGTAATCCTTTGGAAGAGCTAATCCTCCCTCTGTGTTTCTTCAAGTGTTGAGTAGGCTGAGAGACCTTTTCTTTCTGTCTCTAGCCAGAAATGGATCTCCCCATCCCCCCAGGCAGAGGCAGGAGTCTAGAGTCTGTGCCAAGCCAGCCCCAGGAGCCCATCAGCATGCCCCAGACATTGACCAGCACGCTGGAGCACATCGTGGGCCAACTGGACGTCCTCACTCAGGTAGGCCATGATGTGAGTTCACCCAGTCCACACTTGGTCTGGCATTTGGACCATCTGAAATTTGCCAGGAGGTGCTAGATTTTTTAAAAATATAATGAATCTATTTTCCAGTTCAAATTAGTGAAATAGCAGTGCCTACCCTGGGATCCTCGCTCTTGGAGTCATCCAAGCCCTGGCTAGGCCACTAGATTCCAGAATCACCAGTCCTGTGTCCTGCCAGAGTACACCCTCCCAGATATCATCTGGGCCAACAGAATTTTGAAAGAAACACTGCTTATCCCACTCCTCACTGGTTGGGCCCTCCAGGAACATGCCAGTGAACTGTAAGCAGTAAGTTGAAGCTTCCAAGACCCTGGGGTCTGGGTTTGAGCCTGGCACTATTCCTTATCCTTCAATCATCCTTGGGAAAATCCCTTTGGTTTTGTAAACTTTGGTCTGTGTATCTGTAATGTGTAGGTGGTTGTAGACTTGCCTTTCATGTTTGTGGTGAGGATTAAGAAAGATGACTTTCTGTGAATTGTTTGGAGCAAGCCAAGCTTATGAGTGGCTGGTCAGTAAATGTTCACTGTGGCCCTGACCGTGACCCTCACCAACAAGGCAGATGTGAGCCCCACACTAGAGCTTATGTCAGCAGCTTGTAACACAGACTCACAGTGCAGCAGTCCCAGGAGGACCAAATGCCTGCATAAGAGGTGGCAGACAGTGCTGGGGAATGGCCAGTGAGGCATCTCACATGAGAGAGGGAGAGTGGCCTTGGGAGCAGAAGCAGCTGCCTGCAGATCTAGGGGGAACTGTGGGCAGATCTGGAGACTAAGGAAAGCCCAGAGTGGTAGCATGCGGTGGCACAAGCAGGGAAGGATTTAAAGGTCCTCCAGCTCCTTGGTGCCAAGCAGGGACTCTGCAGATCCCTGTGTCCTATGCCAGCATATGGTGAGTGAGGCTGTGACACACTTAAAAAAGTAAAATGTGGAAAAGCTGGAGAACTTGAGAAGACGTGTCTCTAGCCCACCGCAGGGATGCAAAGGATACTTCATGTCCCTAACCATAGTGGAGCTGACGTGGCATAGCATCCTCTCCCTGCCTCTGTATCTGTACGAAGTGACAAAAGCTCCGTGTCATGTCACGTCTTGTATGGTGAGTCCCTTAGCCCAGCTAGGACTGCACATCTTGGGCCTACCTGTGGACGCACACAAAGAGGCCAGGTGTCAGTACCTGGAGGGTGCAGTACTCCCAGGCAGAGCAGACAGACATTTTGGAGTCTCCTAACCCCTGAAAAGAAGGCCTGTGTTGAGAGAGATGTGAGCCATGAGCAAAGATTTAGAAATCCTCTTCAGACCTGTCAGAAGCTGCCTGACGTTCTTCATGGCCTCATCAAATAGGAGATCAAGGCAGGTGGAATCAATTAGAACTTTGTAGGATAAAATTGGAAATTAAGTCTGAAAAGATGGTTAAAAATAGCTTCATTGGATCCAGAGGAGTGTAGCACTGAAAACATTTCCTATAACTGTTTTGGGGGTGCACATAGAAGGCTTTGTTGTGATTTTAGCATTAGGGACATGATAGAAACTTTGCAATGAGCTTGTATCACAAAGCATAAGTGAACACTTTCCTGGGACTGTGGCTAGGTGTCTGGATGTCCATGTGGCACCCTTGTCACACCTCACACACTCAGTCCCTTTGTACATTGTATGGCCCCTCTACCAGATGCCAAACCAGTCACTTTGCAAAACTGACGATGCCTATGTGTTCCTGGACACCACAAAGTATTCCTAATGGACTCTACATGTCCTGAGGAAACTTGGATTCCATAGACGAGGCCTAAGATTCAGCCTGTTTTTGTACAAGGTACATTTAGGATAATCTAGCTATGTTCTCCTGGAGCTCACCTGTCACTTTTGTGTCATTGGCTGACCTCCCCTCCTGTCCTTGGGGCTCTACCTCTGGTTCTCACCACCAGGGCATTTTGGATTCCCTCACACCTCTCCCCTTAGGTTTGGCTCAGCACAGGGCAGACCCACAGACTGACGAGCCTTCTCTTGAGACCCAGAGCCACGCAGCCACTGCCATGCTGCTTCACACATGACTTGTTCTCCTGGCGTGGTCTATGGACACTGGCCTTGGGGCTGTACTCTCAGTAGATGCTCATCATCCGCTCAGTCCTGAAGTGCCTCTGGCTCAAGTCAGGAGCCTTGGCCACCCTAGCACTGACTCCTGCTTCAAAGACGTCTGGCTGAACCATGCTACCCTGCCTTGTCCTACCCCACCTCATAGTCCCGTCTCCTATGAAGAGATCTACTTCTTAGTGGCCTCCTAGAGGAAAATGGTGCCTTCCAAATCCCTTGCATCTCCATTCTGCAGAACATCCTTCCCGGGGAGAACCGCTGGGACTGTAGTAGTCAGTGGTCAGGGGTATTAAGTCACAGCTTCTAGCCCCTGGGTGACATGAATAGCGCACTGCATTATGGAGGTTTATAATCCTCAAAGCCTGCCTTCTGCTCAACATGGCTGGGTGTTGCTACTGCTCATATGTCAGGTGCTGGTCCTGCTGCTGCCCCTGTCACCACCAGGGCTCAACGGGTGGGGCATCTTCATGACAGGACCAGCAGTGCCTCCCCTACTTCTCTACTGCTTCACAAAGCCAGACCCAAGCCTGCTCAGAACCATTTCTTGGCCATCAGAACAGAGTTGGCAGCTTCCCTCTTCACACACATCCCTGAGATCCATTCCCATCCTTGAGAAGTCCAGGATGAAAGTTGTGGGTCAGAGCCAGGCCCCCCAGGGACTGCCTGCTAGAGCCACTGGCGATAGCTGAAACTGTGTATTTTGGGGAGCCCAGCATGCCAAGTCAAGGGGGCAATGGGTTCTCTGGTGTGTAGTAACAGAAGCAGCAGCCCAGGAGTTTGACCTCCCTGCAATGGAACACTGAGCAGAGTAGAGTCAGAGCCTGACCCAGGCAGAGACTCTGGGGTAGAGTAGAGACAGGGACATGAGGAGGCCAGGACTTGGACAAAAGGCAGGGCTGTCATGACTCTATCCCTGGAAAAGAGCCTCTGCAGAACCTTGAAGCAGGGTTCACTGAAGGCAAAAGAAGGGAGTGATGAGAGAAGCAGGATCGTGGCTGCCCCTGTGAGACTTCTGTCCTACTTAGCAAATGGGCAACAGGCGGCTTCCCATCCTTCCCAAGCCAAGGGGCCTCTCAGTTCAAGAGGAAAGAAAACTGCCCTTTGGGCTTGTTTGTGCAGCATCAGAAACCTGGTCCTTTAACTCATGAAGTGGGGTTGTACTGTCTTATTAAGGAATTTTTTTAAAAACTGCATACATTATTTTTCAAATGTGCATTTACATGGGGAAGATAGACTTTGAGATGACCCATCTAGAAATGTGCCCTTTGACCCATCTCCCACCTGGTGGCCTCTCCTTCAGATTGTCCTGGCATGTCAGGTCTCCCCATATTGTTATTTTATAGGAAGGTCCTCAACAATGTGGGGCTTACATCCTCATCATAGTTATCCTCCTGCAGCTTGTCTGAGGTCTGCAGCTTTCCGAGGGCTTCCCTTTGCAGCCCTCACTTTATCCTTGCATCTGGTACCCAGTAGGCAGTGCCATGCCAGTGGAGATAGGACATGAATGATGGCTTCTTGTGCTGGGCATAGTGGTATACACCTATAGTCCCAGCTATTGGGACGGCTAAGGCAGGAGTATCACAAGCTCAAGGCCGGTGTTGGCAGCTTAGAGACTTAGACCCTGTCTCAAAATAAAAAATTGAAAAAGGGCTGAAGATGTAGCTCAGTGCAAAGGCCCATTCCCCTAAAAATGAAGGAGGGGAAAGGGAATAATGATGTTTTGTTCCTAGACCAGTCCTGGGGTCCCTTAGGCCTGAGTCTTCTCCAGGAAGCCAGATGATCCTGATCTTGACCACTGAGTCAGAGCATCCCCACTTCCCTTGCTGAACACTTGGTGGAGTTAGGGCTGGCTTCACCAGGAATTTGGGGCAGGCAGGGATGGTCAAAGTCAGTAAAAAGAGTAGAAATCATCAAAGTATGTTACATACATGTACAGATCTGCCAAAGCAAGTCCCATTAATCTGTATAACTAATATACACTAATTTTAGAGAAAGTTTCCCACAAATCAAACTTGACTTTAAGAGATAAGACCGACAAATATTGCTCAGGGCTCTACAAGTACAGAGCCCAGTAGGCTGGCCTCTGAGGTAACCAGCCATAGTGCACACACCCTTGCCTGGCCTGCTTCTCCTGTAGGAGAGCCTCTCTTACCCCTGTGAGGTTGCCATTTGGAGTTCCACATGTTCCTCTGCTGAGCTCCTCGAGGCCCTGATCTCAGCTGACACTATGGTCCCAGCAGCTGTAGTTTGTCAGCCTGACACATCCCTACTGGATGTGGGCAGGAACCACCCTCCCCCTGGGTTTGAGGGCTGCTCTACTCAGCCAGTGAGCCACCTATCTTTCTGGATTTGAGGGCCAGCACCACCATTGATCACCTGGTAACCCTGGCAAGTGATGCCAGTCCCATATCCTCAGTTTCCTCCCTTGTGAGTGGATAATGGAGCCTGCTTGGTCCTCTGAACACTATCCTGAAGCTTGGTGAACTAGGTGTGCTGGACTGGTGTGCGCTGGATGGTGAGGCACCAGCGAAAGGTGATTTTGTGTGAGGGCTGCCTGGGGCATTAGAGGTACAGAGGTGGACATTTCACTGGCCTCTGACTGCTGGATTTGAGTCCCAAGAATGCATGTGAGCTGCCAGTGAGAGGCCAGTGAGAATGAGAGGAAGAAGCGGAGGTCTTTCCCCAGCCCGAGGAGGGTATATGAGGTTATAGAGGCTTGAGGGTATGTGGGGGTCCTACTCAACACAAGCTTTATACCTAGACCAAAGCATCAGGGCCAAGATTGAAGCTTTTCAGAGAAGTGTGCTTGTGATGGTCATTCTTTGACTGGAGTTATCATAATGTTTTTTTGGGAAAATATGTGTCCTAACCATGGAA